TTCAATCCCCACAATCCCCACTGCGCGTGTTCTTCCTGCCTACAGGACCACAGAGAGCAGGAGAGAAAAAAATGAGCCTCGCTCTTTGTTAAACATGCACACGCACAAACAATAACTCAAAAAACATGCAACCAAATAACAAAGGAACAGGAAGGAAAGGGTTTGCCCAGGGGTTACTGCTTCAGGGCCACGGCTTGTTCTTTACAAGATACAAACTTTAAAAAAAAAACAGCGATACAAATGTTGCAAGATATTTACAATATATAATAAATAAACATATCAAAGGTAAAACAACATTTTGTAAATATTTAAACAGCACAATATCACAAATGACAAATTGCAAATAACATTATTACAGTGCCACCTTGAGGATGTAATAGGGACATTCAAAACAGGCAATTCACAAAGATTTATTTTATTCTGAAGTGTCATCAGATCCCTAGAGTAGATAACTGACTAGCGGCCACCAGTATGAATATTTATTTAAAATAATTAATGTTATTTTCCAGTTAAGAACTGCTGACACAGTTGTATCTGGTGCTGATGCAACTTAAGTTATATATATATATGGTAAGAAAATAGCAATTTATTAAACTCAAATACATTAAATAAATCATGTCATTAATTGAAAACAATATCAATTGCTAATGCTTGCATTATTCAGCAATTCACAAAATAATAATTATTATTAAACATACATAGCTTTAAATATTTTAAATACATAAATTAAATATTAATATTAGATGAAAAATAACATTAGACATGTTGCTTTGGCAACTAACTGAAATAAATTGATGTTAAAGTACTAAAATAATTCTGACTTATTTCAGTGAAAATTTTAGTAAAATCACTAAAAGTAAAACTGACCTAATAAAAAAATAAAGCTAATTTAAAATTAAAGCCAATTAGAAATATTAAAATGAAACTAATTAAAATAATAAAAGTACGCAACACATCTAAAATTAAAATGGAATGTAAAAGTATAATAATAAAAGATATTTCAAAATATTAATAAATATAACAAAAATATACTAATAAACATACATATAAATACTAAAATAAAACTGGATAATCATAATAACTGTTCAATGCATAAATATATACAAAATAATAACATTTGCTATTATCTAAAAAAAAGCAATGAATTAAAACAAAACCCAGTTGTTAATATATTATTCAAAGTTTCAGTTTTAGCTAACCTTGGGTCCTATTCCTGTGGGGATGGGCTGTGAGACAGGTGTATTCTCCCATCGTTTCTGAGTCATCTCTTCAGTTAGACATCTGTAAAACTACACACCAAACACAGCACAAGTTCCCTTATTTACACCTTTCTAACACTTCTGCTCCGTTCATCGCTAAATGTCATGACTGCTTATAGTACATGCTTCAAACTGTATTAAGCCAGATTTAGTGGAGTAATAAGCTCTATGTACGTGGAAGCAGAATTAATCTATGCATCATCATCTCAGTTGAAATATTTGTGACATCACTCCTTAAGTAACTGACCTCAATCTGCCCATGTTCCTTGAAGGACAGCTTTATAAAAGAGTACTTGCTGTGCTGGTAGGGGCCTGGCTCCTTATTTTCCGGGGCTGGATGCAGGTGAATGACAATCTTGGCACTGCAGGGTTTGAAAGGTAACAGTTTATTTTAAAAATATAGATATTATTATGGCATGCTACAGATGCATTAGCAGTCACCTTTTTCCGATGCCAGCTGCTTGCTCCTCAAAGAATATGATCTGTGACAAGTGTATGCATATACAACATTCCTACAGAGAAAGAGAGATTTCAGGCATTGTTCTTTAATTAAAGCAAAAGGACATTTAAGAGTGAGAAAAAAAAAGTTCAACAGAAGTTAAGATATTGGACATGACTTTATGTAAGAGTAGGGTGACCATATTTTAGTTTTTCAAAAAAAGGACAGTGGGTGCGGGTGGGGCGGGGGGCAGAGGTGTGGTTAGTTGGTGGTTAAAGTAATGCCGAAAGCGCCCAAAGTAACGCAATCCCAATTATCAAAACTCAAAATGTCATTTCCAAACCTAAAATACATATTTTACAGTCACTGTTATGCAGATTGATCATAAACCTAGCTAAAAGGCTTCCTACCAGTGGCCCTCCTTCACAAAACTTAGCAACTAGCACAGTTTTATCATAGGTAGAATCAGGGCCGTAGCTGGGGTTTGTGGGGCCCCGGTGCAGGTTGTACCCATGGGCCCTGTTTGAAATCGTGTAAATAGCACAAATAAATAAATAGAACAAAGATAGAAATTAAACAATGTTAACCGAATAATCAAATGTAAAATAGCATTGCATAGTCTTCATTGTATAAATTAAATATAGATTAGGCTAGGTCTTGTTAAAACTAAAAATGTATTCAGTCAAGAGCAGTGAGTGATTTTCTTTCTTTTATTTTCTTGGATTAACATTAAGGACACCGACACAGCCGTGGGCCCCTATAGTTGTATTCGTCACCACCTTTCTACTAGCGACGGCCCTGGGTAGAACGCAAAATGTTTCAATACAAGCATTTCAGTCAAATGTAATTTATGCAACATTTCAAACCCACGGGGAAAATCAACGGAGATGCGGTGATGATGCTGTATGTGATGTTGCTGCATTTTAATGTTTTGTTAGTCTAGCCCACGAGACGTGCAGTTGCTGCATTATTCATTCAAAATATTAGAGAAATATAGAAGCTCAATGCGTAGAAAATGTTGAATAGGTTAAAACTGAAACCAAGCCATTCACGCAGAACGCAAATTCAGCGCATTTTTTTAGACGGACAAATATGACTGCTGCACTCGCGTCTCACCATGCAAAGTTAAAAGTTTAAACTTTTAGAAAACACGTCACAAATGTATGGATGTTTATTCCTTTTCACTGCGTCTCATATGTTTTTAAAGGCAATCTGTGTGATGGCCGATTCGGCTCTTTGTATTAAGCAATTCATAAATACATGATGCTGTTCTGTACATAATTGTTTATGCAATTTACAAAATTATATTTGATTTATATGAGTTAATTTAGACGTAATGCACGTTTTTTTATAGACAGTTATTTCCTTGCGTTGACAATTTAATGTGCTGCATTATTTTGCTAATTGCGCCCTCGGGAAACAAGCCAAAAGTTTCCTTAAGACCTGTTTAATCGGCATATAAAACATTAGAAATTTTTATTTTGTGTTTGACTGTTAAAACAAAAAAATATGTTGTTGTTTGTCTCAATAAATTGGGTTAATTTAAAAATACAGTGGTTAAAATTTAAACATTTTTTCTATTGCTCTTTGTTTTAAAAAAAGGTTATAAAAAATGTCAATAATTATCGATACCGAACGATATGAAATATTATATCGTTGATACATTTTTTAGCTATATCGCCCAGCCCTAAAATCAACCCATGGCAACAGTTTAAAAGTAGCCCAATTCCATGGAAAAAACGCAGACTTCCCTGCATCCAGCACGAGCTGCAGGAGTCAGATTTGACTGATCACGGGATGAGAGGAGAGATGACTGACAGACCATGCTGGAGGATTCGCTGCTCAACAGATCCTGAGCTCATTGCCAAATATCTGATCTTCCTTTACACAGAGTGCGCGTGATTGCAAGTGAAAGTGAACAGCGAGCGCTCATTCAAAAGAGATTTAAATACTCCGCATATTGATAGTGGCTCCCTGATGCGCGAAAATGATATGCAATATTAGAATGTTTGCGGGAGCACTGGACACAAAAAATCATGGGAGCGGGCGATAATGGTCAGAAATTCAGCGGGAGCGGTATTAAGAAAACAGTCCCTCGCAGGGTTTTAATACAAAAACGCACACAATGAATGGCAACAGTAGAAAGCCGAATCCCGGACATTTTGGGTGATTTAGAAATCCCGGCCGGACGCATTTTTTTAGGTCCAAAAAGAGGACATGTCCGGGAAAAAGAGGACATATGGTCACCCTATGTAAGAGCAGCAAAAGTTACTGAAGATGACATACATGACTCTTCTGGTCTCTCCAGAGAAGGCGATGGGTGCTGAGAAGAACGACTCCTGCATCAAGTTTAGCCTGTCAATATGGAAACAGGATAATATGGAGCATTATTATACACACTATCTATTCAAGTGATGCATAACTCATTATTATATTTTGTATTACCCCATTTCTAATTCTACAAATTCTTTCCAACAGCATTAATAAACAACATGTAAACGACATCATCTAAAATATACATGTGTTTAGCCGTAATGTTTACATCACTGTCAGGTCAGTATTTTCCACGATTGTAATTTCATAACTTTCAGTTGAATCCACACTATCTACGAATAAATACCTTGTCTTCCCCATCGTAAAGTCTCACTCCTCTTTGCTGAATTACTAACGTTTCGTTCATCTCAAGTAGCCCATTTGTCCAAACAAACCTGTCAATTTTTAACAAAATAATAAAAAAGTAAATAACAGAACTAGGGCATATTAAACGTGAAGCTGTTTACTTCCGCCTAGGTGTCCGGGAACGCGCCTGTTTGAAAAATACGAAAGTCCATTCAGAACTTCACTCTCCCCGCATTGCTTTTAATGCGTGTTATAGAAAGTCATAGAAATGAACTTAAAAGTATCCATGTTATTTACATTTTGTGCCACCCCCACCCTACCGAGCCACTCCCAATTTGGCAGGTACAACGTGCAGTTGCTAGCGCTGTGTGCTGCCTTTTACAGCTGTGACTGCAATGCTGTCTGTAGACGCTACCTCACCACAGCATGCTCTAAATCTGCCTGCAGCACCTATAGCATGCAATTTGATCATGCTTAAAACTCTCTCCGGGGTTTCTTTACTGATCTAAGAAATGAACTTAAAAGTATCCATGTTATTTACATTTCCCCCATTTATGAGAATTTGAAACCTACCTAATTTGTTTGTTATCTTTAAAAAGAATTGTCAGTATTTATGACAACTCGAAAACCTTAATATAAGTTAGTATTTGAATAATAAATTATAAATAGTTTAGAAAAATGCAATTTATTTCAAGATATAATGTCAACTTCTCATGAGGCGTATTTAGAAACAGACTCTTTCATATCGGGGTCCTGACAAAGGAAGTCGCACACGAACGGCAGCCTTTGGTTTCTTTGCGAAACCCCAATAAACAGCGACGATATATCAAAATAAACAAAACTACCGCGTGAACTATGATCTTCAGTCACTTCAGCGAAATTTGTAATTGTGCAAACATGATAAAAGACATGCATATATGTGAAGAATGGTGCATTTGAGGAGTGTGCGGATTTAGCACTGGACTATTGTTGTTCCTCATGTCATGCCAGCCTGAACTTAAAGAGACCACTAGCCTTCTGTTGTACCTGCTGAACCTTTCCGAAATGATTCTGGCTTCACTAAAAGGATAGATCATATGCAAAAAAATTGATGAATTCAAACATTAATGCTGTGAATAAATATAACAAGACTACTGCATGAAGTATCCCATCAGCAGGTGAATGAAGGGTCGTCATTGAGATGGTGTAGGAGGAATTGATAATCAATACAGTGATCAGAGCATCGACAGAGAAGATGGACAAGAAATCCTTTGATATCGTCTTGGACGAGATTAGAAAGGTATCATTTATATTTGCTGCATAATACAGGTTGTCTGTTCTGGAAATCAGTTTGGTTGATTATGGTTATTAAATAAGCAACAGAGGATAATATTAATACTGTAATTCTTGTTTGTTCTGAAGTGTGTTTTGACAGATCAGCGAATCAAAGCTATAGAGCAGGTTCATGGGTATTTCTCCAGTGAACAGGTATGCTGATATACTTACAGCAGAGAACTGTAATTCTGCGGTTATCTTACAACTACTTACCTGTCAAACTTCCTTCCTCAGGTGATTGACATTTTGAAATACTTTTCCTGGGCAGAGCCACAAGTAAAGGCAGTCAAAGCCCTGCAGCATGTAAGAATTCTGTTTCTTATTGATTTTATTCATCTACAGTCTTGTTAGTTGAGTGAAATGACTTAATTTAATTGCATAACATGTTTTTTTCCTCCAGAAAATGGTTGCAATTCCAACAACGAAGGTTGCAAACATCCTTAATTGTTTCACATTCTCAAAGGACAGAATTATTGTACTAGAACTCATAGCTCTGTAAGTTGCGCCCTACAGAAATTATGCACATCAGCAAATATCCAAACAAATTGAATATAATGTGACAAAGCAATATGTAATGTATACTTTACAGAAATATTTCTGATGCCCAAAATTACCGTCCCGTGGAGGATGCGTTCCGTACTCACCTCGCTGAGAGGAAGCGTGCAAGAAGAATCTTAGAGCAGGTCAAACTTACTCGTTCATGTGAATTTACAAACTGTACATCATGGCCAAGTGTAGGCTATATTGAATGAATGAGGATTTAAATGCAGTACATGTCTATAATTTGTTTAGGTGTGTAAGGTGGGATGTAAAGCTCCAGTGGCGATGATTTCATCCTGTGGGATGATCCCAGGCAACCCTTACCCCAAAGGCAAACCCAGCCAGGTCACTGGAACATTCCCTGTAAGTTCCTTCACTTAATAAATATATTAAATACCTTGTAAATGCATATTGTTTCATTTAGTTCTTTAAAATTAATTGTGGCTTTTATTGGAACTTTTAAGGGATTGCCTGCCAAAAAGGATGGAGATGATGCAACCCTGGATGGAAAGGGCATTGCTGCACGCATCCTTGGACCAAGCAAACCGGTATGTTTTAATGGACCGGTGCTACTGCCCAAACATATTTGTTCTTCGAATGTTTCTGACAGTTCATTAGTGGCTAAGAATTCCATCATGTGATCTTGAATAGTGAACAAATTTCTTATTACATCCATTTCTCTCTTTTTCCGCAAGTCACCATCAACGTACAATCCACACAGACCTGTGCCATACCCTATCCCGCCATGTAGGCCACATGCAACCATCGCTCCAAGTAAGACCCTTTTCCTTCCGATTAGAATAAAATGATCAAGAATAAATTGTATGGGTAATAATCTTCCTAATGTACAAGAAACAGTAGACCATGCATATGCCAGCAATGTGTCTGTGTGCAATATGAATGTTAATTTGGGGGACTGGATGCAGAATGTTCTTACCCTCTTCTCCGGATGCTGCCTAGGTGCGTACAACAATGCAGGTCTGGTGTCAGTGGGTGGGGTCATCACTGCCAGTGTGCCACCCCCACCCTACCGAGCCACTCCCAATTTGGCAGGTACAACGTGCAGTTGCTAGCGCTGTGTGCTGCCTTTTACAGCTGTGACTGCAATGCTGTCTGTAGACGCTACCTCACCACAGCATGCTCTAAATCTGCCTGCAGCACCTATAGCATGCAATTTGATCATGCTTAAAACTCTCTCCGGGGTTTCTTTACTGATCTAATATGGTAATTTCCGTATGCCACGACTTATTATAGAGAGCACAAATTCTAGAATGTGTATTATATTGGATTTTCCGGAGTCTAAGTGTGAATGTAATGTTCTAAAAAAAAGTTGTTACTTTAAGGCACTTGCAATAGAAGTAAACTACACTAATCACTTTCAAGTTTGAGAGCACAAATGTGCAGAAATTTCCCTCTACCCAGTCACATTCAGTTATCCGTAGTTACACACCCTCAGGGATGTCCTCTCTCACTCCTGGACGCTCTACTCCCAACATGCAAGGTGTTGGTGGATTACCAGTGCCACCTGCAGCTCCAAGTCCTAAGCCCTCTTCTGGACTGACCTCCCAGGCAACAATGAGTAGCCCTGCTTTGTTTAGCGAGCAAATTGCCAGCTCCATGGCCCGGCACGGCGGAGGTAGTGGAAGCAACAGTCCTGTTCCTTCCGCTTTCAAAGGTCCCTCCCGCTCGGGCACCCCTTCTCTTAGCTCTCTAGTAATGCCTAACTCTACTGTTCTTGCCCGACCCATGGGCATGGCCCATGGTTCTGCCTCGCCACAATCTTCTTTACCCAGCACTGCTGGTGTAGCTGAACTCCACAGTCTTTACTCTGCTCTGGGCTCTCAATCTGGAAGCAGCCCTACTCCTCATTTTCCAGCAATGTCTCCTTTCCCTGGAACCCAGTCCTCCATTTCCGCCCCATCCACTCCTACTCCTCCAGTCTCATCTGTATATTCTGGCCTGGCTCACTCAAGCACTCCCACACCCTCCCCCTTTGGCCTGGGATTGACCACAGCTCCCTCCATGTTCCCGGGTATTCCTCCTGGCCCAAACCCTGCTTTCCCAGGTTTTGGAGGCTCAGGGCCCACTGCAGCAGGTAGTCCAGTGCTGTCCTCCTTAATGGGCCTTCCAGGAGCCGCTTCTTCAGTAGCCACCGTTGCACCTCTCCAGGCAGCAGCAGCTGCCGCAGCAGGAGTCCCCTCCTCTTCTCCTGTGCTTCCTGGATTCGCCTCTGCATTCAGCTCTAACTTCAACCCTGCCCTTGCTGGCCAGGCTGGGTAAATTTTTTCTATTTAATTATGTCGCATGACTTCATGAAGTATTAACAAGTAGAGAAGTTTGATTGTACTATTCTAGGGTTGATTTAGGGCAGGGGTAGCAAACCCTGCTCCTGGAGGACTACATTCCTGGAGACTCCAGTTCTAGGCCACTTGCTCCAACACACCTGCCTGTTATTTTCAATAAATCCTGAACACAGTTTATTAGGATTTGATTCGCTGATTCAGGTGTGTTTAAAAGAGGTTGGTGCTAAACTCTGCAGGATGGTAGCCCTTCAGGAGCAGAGTTAGTGACCCCTGATTTATGATTATTTGAAATAAGCAGTTAAGTGCTTAACCAGGGGTGCCCAATCCTTTTTCTGGAGATCTACCTACCTGCATAGTTCAGTTCAGTTCATCTGTCTGTATTTATGAAGTGCTCCTGAAGATCTTAATAAGATGGTTCAGTTGTGTTGGAGCAGGGTTGGAGTTGAACTTTGCTGGAAGGTAGATCACCAGGAATGGGACTGAGCACCCCTGTGCTAAACTAATATGTATCGTCTGAATTGTCTATGGTACGGACATAACAGTTCCAAAACCTAGTGAGCTGCCTACTTAGCCAACATTATAGGTGCACAACACAAGGGCTTCTCTAAAATATAGGAAGCATAATTATGCTTGATTATTTTTAAGTTGATTATGTGTATATTTAATTTAATATTAAAAAAAGTATCAATAACTATAGTTCAGTCGAATCACTAATGGACTGTTTTATCCACTGCTTGTGTGTTATATATTGTATGCGTATTTAATTGCTGTACTGAAAACCTATTGGAATTAAACGAGTATAAAGTAACTTTTGAAGTTTTGTCTTGGGATTCTGCCTTAGAAGGGCTATGTAGGTAGTAGTCAGCAAGGCAGGTCACTAACATTTTCCAGTTGAAATGCTCTGCAAAGTCTAAAGTCTATGTTTTCTGTTCTTCATTTTATCAGAGTGATATGTGCTCCTTGAAAATATTGGAAAAACTGTCATAGCTGTCAAAAGTAAACCATAGCCACAAAAAATATTTTATGGTCATATGGCTGATTAACTTGAAGTTTAGATACCAAGTCTGTCAGCAACATATAACACTTAAATTACTGCTGTCAAGAAGCGTAATTATAGTGAGCACATATGTGCGATAGCTTTTCAGATAGCACACTTGCTTTGAATTTAGTATTACAGATTATTGTGCAACTAAGTAAACAAGTGCATTCTATTTGTGTTAGTAAGATAATCATTAGAACTGCATTATTAATAGGCCTATGCAATGTTGCTTAATGTGTTACTCAGGCTAAGTGGTAGTCTCCAGGCCCCTGGAGTTACAGCTTTCCCAGGGCTGCTGTCTTTCCCCCCAGGGATGCCCAGCTTCTCCACGACAGCATCTCCTGCTGCCCTCTCTGGTCTTCACAACTCCGGCATGCAATCTGCTCTTTTGCAGGTAGGGCTGTGCAATTAATCGAAATTCAGTTTCGATTTCGGACTCCCAACGATTATGAAAATATAATAATCAAGATAAACCGATTATTCCATCCCCTTTCCAGCAGTGCGCTTTCACTCGTCCATAAAAGCCCATTTTCACATGCAAATCAGTAAAATCATGTAACGTGACTTTTGCAAAATGGGACGTGCTTGAGTTATTAAAGTTGATTAGATTTATTAATGTTTTTAAAAGCGCTCCGAGAACTTGCGCTGTTCCTCAGGAGGCTTGCGCTCAGAGACAAAACAGAACAGGGACATCTAAAGTCATCTTTTAGCTGAACGTAAGCGCTTAAACCAGGGGTGTCAAACTCCGTTTCTGGAGGGCCGCAAGCCCTGCAGAGTTTAGTTCCAACCCTGCTCCAACACACATACCATGTAGTTTTCAAATAAGTCTAAAGGACCTGATTAGCTGGATCAGGTGTGTTTAATTAGGGTTGGAGCTAAACTCTGCAGGGCTGCGACCCTCTAGGAATTGAGTTTGACACCCCTGGCCTAAACGGTCAAATACACGCAAAAATGTGTCAAAATGCGGCGCTTAGTGATTATTCACGTAAACCCTCGTCGGTTATGTAATAAATGAATGTTAACAGATGAAAATGTGTGTAACAGTAAATTGGATCCGTGCGGCTCTTAAAGTGACAACAAAAGACAAAGACACATCACTTACTGCTCTTCACAGAAGTTTAATTATTAGAGTGAAGACTATGCGGTTTTATTTTACATTTGATTATTCAATTTCTATAGGCTGTTAACCGAATGCTTTAGACTTGGATTCAACTTATTTATTTTTGTTATATGGCCCACTAATAATAGTGTTAAATAATCGTGATAACAATATTGACCAAAATAATCGTGATTATGATTTTTGTCATAATTGAGCAGCTTTATTTGCAGGTAGGCATTGGCTGATTACCGGTTTCAAGGTATACCGCGATTTGAAAATGTCACGTTTCAAAACCACTAATACAGCAGAAAAGTTTACGTGGTATTTTCTTTTAATCTTGTCTCTGTATAGTTCATATTAAAGCAGTGTTTCAGCACCAAGGAAACGCCGTATCTGGTGTCAGAGAGTGAATCTGCATCTCATTCAGAGCTTCTGCCGTTTGTCTCGTTCAGGCATGTAGTATAATTTCACAAAGCTAGTCAGAACATTCTGCTTTTGCTTCAAATTGGGTTGTTATTTATTCAAATTATGTGTATGAAATTATATAACTAAATGATATAAATGATATGTATATAAATTATATAACTAAAATTAAATAACTGTAATTACAGATTCTGGTTAAATAAAGATGTCAGTCTTTATTTTTCTTTTTTGGAAACAAATCAAAGAAAAAATAAACAAATTTTACTGTTCCTAATATTCTGTATGTTGCTCAAAAACAAAATATATTGTGTTCAGCGGAAAAAAATTGTTTTTTTTACCCAGTTATTTAAAAAAAACATTTTAGAGCTGTATCGACGATACCGCGAAACCGTGATATTTTTGCTTAAGGTTATCATCCCGCCAAAATCTCATACCGGCCCATGCCTATTTGCAGGTATCTATATATTGATCGGAGGCTGTGGCTCTTTGTTTGATCATTAAAGGTCCACTGGATGTTATTATTATGCCTGCTATTATGATAACGAGCAAGATATTTTAGAAGAATTTGCTACTCTATGCAAATGTTAATGTTTGTTTTGTGTGTGTGATTGCAGGCTCACTCTGCATCAGCGCTCGACAGTTACTCTCCCCAGCCGAATGGATTCACAAACTACACTGCAGCCGTTGGATCGAGCTTCCCTCTGCAGCCAGGCCTGCATCCGCCACTGGGCTGGCAGTAACTCATTGTGAGTTACAGAGTGCAGGCATATCAAAAACTATGCAACCTAGTGTGTGCAGTGTGCATAAACAATGACAAACATTGTGGACTGTGGTGCTCTGCATGGAAAAAGGTGTGTCATAACTAGGGCTGCACGATAAATCGCATGCGATATTTAACGCGCATCTTATCAGTAAAGCTGGTTCTGAAATCAGCGGTAAATCTCCATCACCTGTGTGCTTTCACATTGAGCAGCATTAACTACACAGAGCCGTTGTTCACAGACGAGCTGCGCAAAACCACGTTCATATTCGCGCAATTTTTTGTGCAGCTCGTCAGTGAACAAAGCACGCAGGTGATGGAGATTTACCGCTGATTACAGAACTGGCTTTACTGATAAGATGCGCATTAAATATCGCATGCGATTTATCGTGCAGCCCTAGTCATAACGCAATTATGGGTAAATTCAAAAACTTATGTGGCAGCTCTACTCTCCAATAATTTCCTGTAGAAGACACTCACGTCTCAAATCAAGACAAGCTTGTGGTTTAGAGCTCTGCATTAGTAGAACAGAATTTTATTGACTTTTGAGGGCTGGGCTGGACTGTTTGTTATATGTATTTGAATGAAATTAATACTATTCTTTAGTATTATTTTTTTGGTTTGTAGTAGGGCTTAACTCTGTTTAAGCATCATCATTTTAAAAATGAATACTAAAATTAATTTTAAATATACACCAGTAGAGGAAATGTGAATAGTGTGGGTGTCTAAATTTTACTAAACTGTTTTCCCTGGATCATGAAAGTAGTGAGTTAACTGACATTTTCTTCAAATGTCTGTCAAATACTGTACATGTAAATACCCTGTGCGAATGGGTAAATTAGGTGTTTGCTCTTTGTACTGTAGCTGTTCTGTTTTTCCCCCCATTATTTTCCTAAGTTACCTTACAAATTTTAAAGGAGTTGCTTTGCAACTCCAAAGTGACTTTAGTGTTACAAATCTTACAGTTGTACAATTTTGCTGATATTAAGGTCAGAACCATGAATTTTGCATGTATACAATGTGTAGATCTCGGAGGCTACGATAATCACGTTTGTGTTCATTATATATTATAAAATATAATAAAGAATATGTTAGGTTGAGTCTAGTATGTTCTAACAGCATCATGAAATAAAAGTTCTTTTCTTAGATTCTCTTGCTGTTTGTTTTTATTCCGAATTTTTTGGTTAGCAGTGAATGTCACTTCACCTTTCACCTGTTCAGGACTTTCCAGAATGACCACAAAACCCACAGCAGCTTTCTAAAATTAGATGCAATGTCACTACAGACAAACAAAACCAAATTCAAAATGTTTTGCAACCAGAATTCCATTGATGCCAGATTAATTATAAAAGATTATGGGAATTAGTAATTTGCAAATTGGTTTTTAGATGGCTGTTATTGTTTTTTTTTTATCGAAAAGTTATATTAATTTACTATACATGTTAAAAGGAAGTTTGTGGTGTATTACTGATTTACCCTGTTTGATTATTAGAGAAAACCTGGAAAGTCCATATTGAGGTCTTTGCTGGTTAACTTTTTCAGAGAACTGTAATATTACAGATTATTTTTGATGTTGATTTACCCTGCCCATACGTTTGATCACGAGTGAAATAACCACTTTAATCTTTTTCACATCATGAATCACGAGACTCCTGCAATTACTAGTTTCCACTTGACCCTTTGTTCACTTACTTGACATTATGCAATACTACCTATGAGTTCCTGCATGTAAGCCATGAATGAATGATGGTTTATTAGTTTTACTAAGAGTAAAACAAGAACATATTCTTAAAAACTAGTTGGAAAAAGGCATTCAAATCTGTATAGCGAGAAGCACACTGGCTAGCTGAAGAATAAAGCATCTTTGCCAAAAGCAAACACAGCGGATGTGTTTCAGAGAAATCGCAATCATCATAACTGCTTCATTAACAAACATCAGCCTCATATTGCACAATGGACGGTGACATAAGACCATTAGAGTCTGTAAATGATCTTCTAATTGCATTGTAGACAAGGCCACACCATTCATAGGAAGTGCTTTTGCAGTACAAATACATTTCTCAGTTACCCACAAAGCCAGTGCTGTCTTTAACATCTCGTGTAGCAACAAACCCACATGGAAATGGAGTCTGAGATGGAACGAGGAGCCCAGAGCAAGCAGAATCTAATCAGTAAGTTGATCTCACCTTTTTTACTCTAACCCTTTTGTCTTTGAACACTGGACTTTAACATGTAATCTGCTGAGAGTATAATATAGTAATTGTCTTAACTACAGCTACAACAGGACTTGTGTGTTGAGGTCGATTGAGTTTGCATTGTTCAACTATGATCAGTTAGATTTGTCATTTGCATTAGTGTTTGATTAGCAAAGCAGTCAATTTTCCACACCGGTTCACAATTGTACCTGCATGAGGAAGAAAGAAATATACAGTACATATATGAAGTCAAATAGCTGTTTGTGTTATTTTTAGTATTCCTGGTCAGAAATTGTTCAGATCTTATTTAATTAAGTTAATGGTGTTAAATGCATACTGTATGTCGCAATATCTAACAGGATAGTAACTGCAAGACTATCTAAAAGAACCTCAAAAAGGCTATACTATACACAATTTTTTATGTATTTTAAATGTATTTAATCCTTTTTTCTTTTTACTAAAATCTTGATGCTGAATTCACAGAAAGTTCTGTATTCGTCAACTATTAATTTTAGACTTCAACATTTTGTGGTTTTAGAGTTGGCTCATTATCCTGATTTGAGTAATCACATCAGATTATAAATAACCTGAAGAGTTTATTATAGTTTCTTGGATTCCTCTCTTAGGTTAATAGATTGCTCTGTACAACACAATAGTTTAGCACTTTTGACTGCATTATACAATAACCACTACAGAGAAACACCACATGCGAAAACATATAAACACACGTTAATCTTTCTTTTAGAAGAGCATGATAGACAGGCCATAAGCATAAAATATGGCCTTGGTTTGAAATTGTTGGGTGTGTGTGGAAAAATTAGTGTAGCCTTATCCGTCACACTTAGGGGTTGTGTGCCAATGTTCACCACCCACCCACTCATAAAGGACCACCCAGAGCTGATTTATGATGAAGAGGGTCTCCCTGGTGACATATTTACCTGAGAGACTGTTGATCCAGTGAGGGGCCAGTTTTGGTGTAAAGTGCTTCTATTCAGGGTTAAGGGTAAAAGATAAGATGTGGTTTACAGTTTGATTGTTAGTAAGGATTAAGATGAGTCTTACTGATAAGTTGCTAGTTAGAAAGGGAATTTAGTTTCTTAGCAAACCAAACTATCTAAATGAATTGAATCATCATTTTAAGTTTATTGGTCAGTTGTTACACTATGACACTTTTTTTTGTTGGTCAACCTAAAATGAAGTGAAACTAGGATGTGGAAAGAATCTTGAAACTGCATGGTTCAGATTTTCCACAAGACAACTAACTTAAGTAATATAACTTCCATGTGAAGCATCAAACCATATGCCACATGCATTGAATAAAACATGTAATTAGCACTGAGTTCTTTCACACAGCTCAACATTTTGACCCGTTTAACTTTTAGTCATGTGCTGTTTTCTGTGGTTGCAGGTGAAAATAACAGCGGTCTGGGCTGCTGTGGGTGGATTCTTGTGATTATCTCTGCATTTTTCTCCATCTTGATATTTCCAATCAGCATTTTCATAACCATTAAGGTGTGAACCACAATAGGACAAACAAAACAAATAATCCTGAAAAATATTAATTACTATGCTCTCGGGGACCAGTGCTATTGTTGTATCATTTTAGTAGTTTTCATTACTATTTTGAATTCATTTTATTTTAATATTTATTATTTCCATTTATATTTTAAAGTGTATCATAGTTGTCATACAGACGACTTTTCTTAACTCTCATATCACACCATTGCCTTTCTTTTCAAATATTAAAATAAAATACATTTATTACAATTTGAACTCAAATCAATATTTGAAAAGTTGACTTTCTTTTAACTTTAAAGTTGACTTTCCTAGTAAACCTTGCACTTTAACAACATCAATGCCTGAATGTTTTACACCTGTAGTTGTTGTTCAAATGTTTTATAACCCACTTAATATGTTTGATAACTGTTTTATAGATTGTGAAAGAGTATGAGCGTGCTGTCATATTTAGACTGGGGAGGATAACAGCCCGAAAAGCCAAAGGACCAGGTAATACTTAGATTCAGTAGGTTAAAGCTAAACAGATACTTAGGTAACACCACCTTTTGTCAAAGGCAAAGCCTTAGACGTTCCTCGATGCACAGGTACCAATTGTTTACAACAGCTGAGGACATTCACAGAACTTGTGGCCTACTAGCTCAGTTCCTGTACAAGGAGTCAGTTTAGTTCAAATAACGAATCAATGCTGTTTGACACAGATCATATAATAACAAATAAAATTAAAAATGTTACTTGTGTCTAGGCATCTTCTTCATCATCCCCTGCACGGACTCGTTTGTTAAAGTGGATCTTCGAACCATCTCATTTGACATCCCTCCCCAGGAGGTAAACTAAAAAAGAAATACTCAATAAACCAGAGGAGTAACGTGAATAGTAACGAGTAACGTGAATAGTTCCAGCAAGCGAGGTCAGAGCTGAATCAACTGCTGTTCTCCAAGCAATGAAGCGTTTCGTTCCTGAACAATCAGTGTTTTCAAACGAATCATTTCCGTGAATGATTCAATGACTCGGTCATGAAGACGGCCTTGTTTCCGTCTTGAATGAGTCTGTGTTTTTGAGTGAAATGTTTGAGGCTGAATTCGGAATAACATATTTAATAACCCTCTTACTATTTGTGCCACATAAATATATGGGCGAAATGGTAATGCTAGTAGAAACAGAATGTTAGTATAGTATTCTATTTTGAATTCACCCTGAGGGAATGAATCGCGCGTAATGCACTATTCTATGACTTTAATAGTATAAATGGTGCGAGTAGTGCGTTCACACTGAAAATTCCAAAAAGAAAAAGTGCACTTTATATACCCGGATGATGCACTTAAATAACCGAAAAAATGAAGTGTGGAATGTTGGACACTTCATGCACTCAACTGTCACAGCTTTAATTACGTACCGAAGGGGGAGGGGCTATGAGACTCCGATTGTGAATGACAAAATAACCTT